AAATGAAGTATTAGTGTTGGATGACGTTCGTAAATATGAACAGAATTAGTATAGTGAGCTTCAATAAGTGTGAATTTATTTGTTAAAAGTGGTTGTAATACAATTATAAAAGTATTAACATGGTGAAGAGAGACATGTAGGATTAGTATTGTTGCTGCATTTTAGAGAAAAATCCGAACATTGCTTTTCTTTGCAATATCTTGTATCTTTTGAACATCAGAAAAGCCATTACGGGTTATATTTATGACAAAGAGGGTTTTTTTATCCGTGAGAAGATGGCCAATGGCATCGATGCTTCTATCGGTAATTTTGTTATTTTGAAGTGACACATTCCTTAATGAAACCTTAGCCTTCGAGGCATCAGCCAGTACCATCATTCCCGAGGCAGTAATCTGATTGCTTGATAAACTAAGAGACCATAAGATATTGTTCATTGGGAGCACTGAAGCTAATACGTGAACGCCTATGTCTGAAATATTGTTGTAGTCCAGCACCAAATCTGTCAAAATGGTATTATTCTGCAATGCGCGAGCCAAATGACTAGCACCAACATCGCCAATACGGTTCTCTGCCACGTTCAAACTCTTCCAGTGGACATTTCTTCTCAATTCATCAGCAATCAAACACATATCTTCATCATTTAATTGACTGTGGCGAAATTCAGCAAATGAGAATTCAGCTGAAACACGAATACGCTCTTTCAATTTTAGGTTTGCCGGGTACTGCTTATCAGGTAGCAATATTCGTTCCGAACAGGTGAACTTCGACAGCATCACTTCAGGCAACTTTCGCGCTGTTTCAGGCGTGATAGATGATGATAACAAATCACTAATAACTTCGGCCGGTTTTTCTTCGTTGGCAGATATCAACGCATGATTCTCTTCCAATAAATGTTTTAAGACCAATGCAAATCGATTGAATTCATGTGGAGACAATTCATTTCCTTGATATTTTTGAGAAAAAACTTTTGAATAAATATTCATGTGCTTATCATAATCTTTCAACAACAATTGAGCATATAAAAGCATTTCTTCACCTGTTTGAAAAGCAAATAAATCACGAAGTTGTGTCGATAAATGATTATATGCAAACCAAACAGGAATGTCTTCACCTGAAGATCGCCATTCTTTGAAAGGGCGAGGAGGAGAACCAATAGTTTTAGGTTGTGCTGAAATCACATCGGGTACTGGCATGGTAAGAACAGTAGGTAATGGAACCTGCTGTTGATGAACTGATGAACTCGGTTCAGAAGTCGACGATTGAGTTGATGAGAGTGAGAGCAAAATTGTATTCAATAATTCAGTCATTTTACCCTGGTCAATTCGTACACAATCTCGAAATCGGACATATTTCAAACCAGTCATACGGATCCCTATTATTCATATCGATTAATATATTTAAAGATAGCATGGGCAATAGGGGCGTAACCAGAGGGGGGGGGGGGGCCTCAGCCCCTCTACGAAAAGTTTAGCCTTTCATTGTAATGATAGATGAATCAATCACTTTGAGAATAAATTATTCGGTGCACTATGTCAATTTAATATGATTAAAGGCGATAGCCAATATTTGTGTGTTCTTTGAACTTTTTTACGTGTATAATAATACATAAATATACACCAATTAGAGTAAAATCAGAGCAATGCATATCTTAAAAAAAGATTTCTATTTCGAGTTAATCTTGTTCATCAGTACACGGCTCAAAGCGTTAGTATTCCGTTATCATCTTCAACATGTGAGCGTGTATTCTCAAAAATGAAATTAATTAAAACACGTATAAGGAGAACAAGGGCAGACGAACGATTAAGTGATCTTTGCGTTTTATCGATTGAACGTGATTTTCAAATGGATTACGAACAAGTTATTGATCAATTTTCGATTAACCATAAAAATAGTAGAATCCTGCTCAGGCTTGCCGAGTAGGAAGGGCTACCCCTCCTTCTCCCGCAAATTGAAAACACGCACAATTTTCTGAGAAAATTTTGAATTGTTTCTGCGGAATTTTAAAAATCTCATAAGAAATTCTGGCGAAAATCCGGTTTTTAAGCATTTTCCCCCATTTTTTTGAAAGAAAAAGATTAAAACCACTTTTTTTCAACAAAATATCGCAGAAAGTCAAAAAATTCAGCATTATTTCCTCAGTTACTGCTTAAAAGCAAGACGACATTTTCTGCCAAAATTTTTAGATTTTCTGCGAAATTTTTAGCCCCCGCCACTTGTGAAAACAATCGACAACCCTGATCATATTAC